GGAGCTGGTCGGACAACCAATAGGAGCTGGTCGGACAACCAATAGGAGCTGGTCGGACAGACAATAGGAGCTGGTCGGTTAACCAATAGGAGCTGGTCGGTTAACCAATAGGAGCTGGTCGGACAGACAATAGGAGCTGGTAGGACAACAAATAGGAGCTGGTCGGACAACCAATAGGAGCTGGTCGGACAACCAATAGGAGCTGGTCGGTTAACCAATAGGAGCTGGTCGGACAGACAATAGGAGCCGGTCGGGCAGACAAGTTAGGTATCTTTCATTGGCTTTGTGGCCAATAAATGCCAGCCTCATTTTGATGCTATGCTTTTATCATTCTTGGATTGAAACGGGGGTAAAGTGTAGGCTTGGCTTTTTTTATATTTCTCGTTTACTTTAACGAATCAAAGTTCGAGTAACTAAGAGATGCATCGCACTATATATTTTTTAACAAACCCTTTTTTTGAAAAGGACTGTATTTGGTACAACATATTTTTAATATCAAGTCATTCCAAAGTTTGTTTTCTACATAGTATATGATTTATCAATACACATTAAAAAACCCGTACCACTGACAACAACTGTAGTTACGCACTGGAAACTGTTTTTTTCCTGCATAACTTAAGCTTTGCGGGACTTTCATGAAAACAAATAATGTAAATGATACATACAAAATGTAATCAACAGTGTTCTGATTGTTAAAATTCAGCGGGGCTTCACCAGAATTTGAACTCTGGACTTCAGATTGTTACACTATCGCTCTAACCAAATGTGCTACCTGGTCATCGAAAGTGTCCTAGTCCAACTGTATAATAGTATCATTTTTACATTCAGGGGAAATTAAGAGAAGGTATCTGTATATACGAAACAAGAGGCCCAAATGCCTTAACTGTCACTCGAGTCAAAATACAACTCTTACTTGTTGTTGTGGTATTGTGATGTGACAAGAATAAAAGTACATTTAACCAAATACGGCTGTTTGGCTGGGGATTGGCTTTGGGAAGTGACCAACATGTATATAGAGCTTTAAATAATATCAGTAAAGTGATGAAATAATACTGCAATCAAATAAAATTTACCCACCAATGAGAGCTTGTTCATCTACAATTGTATGATTATAATTCCAATTAAGTTTGAATTATTTCGTACTGTTAATCAATAAAGATACCAAAGAATATGAATTTCCTAAATTTACAAAAGTCAGTATTACCCAGGGGGAGAGGGGGATGAGTGACCCGGGGGTAATGAAATTCACAGTTTTGTTTAGGGACCTTTGCACCTTTCCATCAACGAAAAGGATTTGATCCTAGCATATCTTGGTCCAAGATTGTTAACAGATTTGTTTCCGCCACTCAGGCCCCTGGAGCTTAAACGTCTTATCAACATTTGAGGTTGATGATTACCAAGTCTCATGCAAATCTGACAGGCGGTTTTTGGAAAGAAGTCAACAATATGATTGTTTCCGGTTCTGCACTAACTGACTAACAGCACTATGAGCCCGTGAGGGTAAGCCCCTCTTTGAGTATAAAATCTGATCATCGAAGGATATTTCTATGATAAATTGGTGGAAATCCACCTGTGAGTTTCACAGAAAAAAGTCTTTTACAGTTTAGCTTTCTGTGATCCTTATGACCCTGTCCCTCATTACCCTTGGGGTCAGTCCAATCTAAAGTATGAATTTTGATCCCTACCTAAGGCTGATGATTATCACCAACTTTCTATAAAATCTGACACACAGTTTTTTTATGAGAAGTTGAAAATGTGATTGTTGGTGGGTTTTTTCATGTTTTGCAGGACGTGTGTAGCGTGCCAATATGTGATAACAACCCAATATGTGAAAACAGGAAAAACTATATTCATTTATTTAATTACCACCTATGAGCCTCCCCTAAGGGTCAGACTTTTCTTGAGTGTACATTCTGATCCTCATCATCAAAGCATCATTTTAAAAATGTTGGTGAAAATCCACTTGCTTAGATTCACAAAAGTAGTCTTTTGAAATTTTCGCTATGCGATCCTTTATGGCTTCGCCCTTCAGCTGCCTTGGGTGTTTACTCGAGTATATATTCTTATCCACTCCTCAGGCTTATCTTTACCACCAAGTTTCATCAACTGACCGTTTCTGAGGAGTCGAAAATATGAATATTTACGCACGACGTACGACAGACGAAAACTGATCGCACTGGGACTGGACTATTGTTTTCGCTACTATAACATTATTATTGCTCTTAGATAAAACAGAAAACAATATCTACCTATAACAAAACAGTATCTGCCCATAAACTAGGGGCTTCAGTCAGATCAATTCAACTTATAATAGCAATTTGACCCCATGTTTCCGGTCATGCTCACTGACGTTTAGAGATTTGATGAGCTGCACATCCTCCTTGTAATGACTGTATTGATCGCAAGCAACGTTGCCATTGGATCCGTCTTTTACGTGACCATTGCCGTCCATGGAGAATGTGTCCCAGATACTTGGGGCTCGTCCTGAAAATAACGTACCAAAGTTTAAGGAGCAGAATTTGAATAACAGTCTTATATTAAAATATTTTTAGATCAAATTTTCAAGACAAAAGTAAGCATCTTCGGTGAAAATCGTCACAGGATAAATTTTGTAAGTTTTAGTAAATCAATTAATGTCAACAAATTGCTTATCAAAATAAAGCTCTAACTTCATCTGAACCGCGAGTGTGAATACAGTGCCCCCTGCAGGGGTGTTCAATGATGTTATTTCCAAATGTTCCTTTCATGGGATCTATGTCACAATAACAAACTTAAAATGGAATTCTGCATGTTTCTATTTCTGTAAATGGAATGTGACTGTGTTGACACATTTTTTGGGGAATTTTATTTGATAATGTATCGATATCGGTTCATGTTTGAATTCTTTTTGAAAAGTACGAAAACGCGATGTACTGCGTGTCTTTATCGAATGAAAACCCACAATTACTGCATGACATATTTTTTGTGAATTGTGATAATAACATTTATTATTTTTCATAACGAATTACATAAAAGATTATAAGACTCTTTCATGTCCAGCGGTGTAGGATAGGGAAATTCTACCCGAGGGGTTTTCAAATTTGGTAAAACCCGAGGCTTTGCCGAGGGTTTTGCCAAATTTAAAAAACGATGATGGAATTTGCCTATCCTACACCCTTGGGCATCAAAGAGTATTTTTCTCGCATTCCGACTACCAGAATAATCTCAGAAACCATGAAAATTCGTGTGGACTGGCTACCATTTTGAAAATATCAATTTCCCCACCAGAGCTTTTTTGACGAAAACGAACTCTTCCTTGAGATTAAGCATACCCCATATGTGCAAACAATGTTTGCGCAGAAAAAATAATCTCATCTTTCTAACGTGTGCGGCATCGTTTTTTTCCAAATTCGTGACGTCACGTTATTGTTGAGCCATTGTGACGTCACGTCACGTGAAATGGGGTGTAAGATTAACATAATCCCATCCTGATGTGAGGTATGGATTAAAAGAATCTCTCACCCCCTTGGGGGTTAGATAGGGGAATCTCAACCCGAGGGGTAATATTCTTAAGTTGCCAAACACGAGGCGTTGGCTCACCAACAAGGGGGTGAATGATTCTTTTTCTCTTATCCTGTTCTCCCATTGTGTATCATATTCACAATGTAATGATAACGTTACATGCTTAATTCAGGGTTGACGTGACGTTGATGGATTGGTGACGTGACGTCATTGTATTGTTGAAGGGAATTCATGCCATCGTTATGAATAGGGGAATCCCCCCGTCTCAACCCTAGGGTGAGACAAGGAAATCTCACACCGGTAAAAGTGCGAATACACCTGTCCAGGGTAAAATATTGAGCAGAAGACCCGAGGCTTTGCCGAGGGTCTTTTGCTCAATATTTTATCCCGAGGGTTTGAATAACCTTTTCTGTTACCCTGGACAGGTGCATCCGCACTTTTACCGGTATGAGATTTCCTTATATCAATATTTGGGATGGACTGATCGCATCATAAATTTGAATGCCATTAACCAAACAGAATGTGTTCAAACAAGTTCAAAATGGGGGTCATTGGGGTCATACATGTATTGGATTTTGGATTGGTTCTAAAAAAGAACCTTATTTATGGAGTCTATCGATGCAGTAATTTTGTAAAAGGTCTCAGTTTACAGAGGAGCAGCATATCAGAGGTAGAGCGACTTTCATTGAATGACAAAATCGTTTAAAACAACACTACTAAGTACATTTTGATTTTAGTCTGTCCAGTTGTTTTAAACAAGAAGTCGAAGTTGTTTCTTACTAAAAAAAATTATATAATTCAAATGATAACCATCAAAGATTGAAATTAAAGTTGATAGTATAACCGGGTTACGTAAATGGTTGGGGTTAAAATAGCGGTCGTTAAAAAGTACTAACACGTTACCTCGGAGGCCATCCAAGTTCATCACATAAGATTTAAGTTAACTTAGAATTTGGACATTTTTGAAACACATTTTCTTGCTACCCGGCAACGTTGAAATGTGAATCTCCTTAACGTCTACACAACAAACACAGATGCCGTCGTTACGAAAGCGTCCTAGATACCGACAAAGATGAAATATGAACATATTACAATCACTGTCGTCCTTATCAAACAATGCAGACATATTTTCGATTTGAAATCATTTCATGATGTGACAACCGTGAAATGCAAATCACTTGTATAATATGAACTGACTGACATTTCATTCATGATAAGTAAAAGCTGTACCTTGCCCTCATCTGTTTACCCAACAGGTAGGTGGTCGTTATTATCAAAGCTATTGAAGTAAATAACCTATTTGTACATCAAACAAGTAATTTGACACATTTTGGTTTCCATGTTTTTATCTCAGCCGAGACTTGGAAAGATTCCGTAGAGTTTGTCCGAAATATTTGCATACATTTGATTATTGAATAACTAATATAACTTTATTGGTCCGGATAGAAGCCCTCAGGCCATTTAACTAAATATATTTGCACGGGTGGGACGGAAGATCCACTATCTGGTTCCCCACGTGCACCCACGTGGTCAGGTAGGTGATCCATTGGGTTTTCACACCCACTCATGATCACGTCCCGGTCGCCTAAGTGAACGTGTGCTATCCACTGGGCCAACAAACCAACTTTTTAACGAGGCAATTTTCTGCAGATATGATAATTCAGTCTGGATTTATTATGGTCGGTAATCTACAATGTAGTATCGCCGTTATGTCGTTGTCGTGTTCAATTTGTAGACGATTCATACAAACAAGTTCGATTTTCAGTGTTAAAAGTCAAAACAAGGTCATATCCACACACAATGCTTTTCCACGGGGATCAATACTAGGTTCCCTTCAGTGTATTTTGTTAATATCAGGTACCCTCTGTTATATGCGGACACTGAAACGCTGAATTGTTATATTTTAAGCAACAAGTTTTCTCTTTAATATATGCAGTTTGATTTATCACTCATAATTAGGACCAGACTACCTATATGTTTATTGGTAATACCTCGTTAACTAAACGACATTGATGATTTACCGGATCTATAATGGGGTTCAGATAGATAACACTTATATCGAGATATATTATGGAGGTTATAGTTTTGAAAAATTACAATGTAAAAAATCAAGTATGTTTAAATGATAAAATCATTTAATGTAAATAACACAAAATAACTTATCAAATTGGCCAAATATATAAAAGCAGCAAATGTAGGAGAAACCAAATAACCTAATTATCACACTCCATGATGTTTGTACATTGATGGTATTGTATTGTATGTATTGTATTGTATTATATTGTAGTGTCTCTAAATATTGTAAATAAATGTCACTTTTGAAACCGATGGGTCAAAAGACCCAAGGTTATAAAGAACTTTAACTTGAGATTTATAACAATTACATATGTATAGATTATGGGGCCTCAGATACATAACACTTATATATGTATGGATTATGGGGGCTCAGATACATACATATATATGTATGCATTATGGGGCTCAGATAGATAAAATTTATATATGTATGGAGTATGGGGGCTCAGATAGATAACACTTATCTATGTATGGCTTATGGGGGCTCAGATACATAACAATTATATATGTATGGTTTATGGGGGCTCAGATACATAACACTTATATATGTATGAATTATGGGTCTCAGATAGATAACAATTATATATGTATGCATTATGGGGCTCAGATAGATAACATTTATATATGTATGGAGTATGGGGGCTCAGATAGATAACACTTATATATGTATGGATTATGGGGGCTCAGATACATAACAATTATATATGTATGGTTTATGGGGGCTCAGATACATAACACTTATATATGTATGAATTATGGGGGATCAGGTAGATAACAATTATATATGTATGCATTATGGGGGCTCAGATAGATAACACTTATATCTTTATGGATTATGTGGGCTCAGATACATAACACTTATATATATATGGATTATGGGGGCTTAGATACATAACACTTATATATGTAAGGATTATGGGGGCTCAGATACATAACGCTTATATATGTATGAATTATGGGGCATCAGGTAGATAACAATTATATATGTATTCATTATGGGGGCTCAGATAGATAACAATTATAAATGTATGGATTATGGGGGATCAGGTAGATAACAATTATATATGTATGAATTATGGTTCTCAGATAGATAACAATTATATATGTATGAATTATGGGTCTCAGATAGATAACAATTATATATGTATGCATTATGGGGCTCAGATAGATAACATTTATATATGTATGGAGTATGGGGGCTCAGATAGATAACACTTTTATATGTATGGATTATTGGGGCTCAGATAGATAACAATTATAAATGTATGGATTATGGGGGATCAGGTAGATAACAATTATATATGTATGGCTTATGGGGGCTCAGATACATAACAGTTATATATGTATGGATTGTGGGGGATCAGATACATAACACTTATATATGTAAGGATTATGGGGGCTCAGATACATAACGCTTATATATGTATGAATTATGGGTCTCAGATAGATAACAATTATATATGTATGCATTATGGGGCTCAGATAGATAACATTTATATATGTATGGAGTATGGGGGCTCAGATACATAACAGTTATATATGTGTGGATTATGGGGGATCAGATACATACCACTTATATATGTATGGATTATGGGAGATAGATAACAATTATATATGTATGAATTATGGGTCTCAGATAGATAACAATTATATATGTATGCATTATGGGGGCTCAGATAGATAACATTTATATATGTATGGATTATGATGGCTCAGATAGATAACACTTATATCTTTATGGATTATGTGGGCTCAGATACATAACACTTATATATATATGGATTATGGGGGCTCAGATAGATAACAATTATATATGTATGCATTATGGGGGCTCAGATAGATAACACTTTTATATGTATGGATTATTGGGGCTCAGATACATAACACTTACATATGTATGGATTATG